ACGCATCTTCCCATTTCACTGACTACGTTAAGGCTGAAGGCTTTGTGGCTGTCTGATAACCAGTCCCAACCTCTGCTGACATTTCAGACTGACACAGACCCTGAAACAGGAGAAAAGATTTTAACATGTGTATTACTTCCTCAAATGCCTTCTGAGTCTGGTTGCCAAGGTGAGTGCCTAGAGCCAGCTTTTCATTATGTACAGAATTATTACTTCTTTGTTAACTGAGTTGTCCCATAAAGGTTTGTAAAATGTGCATAAGCTCTAGTGAGCAAAGTTCTGGTTGAATTTTCAATATTAAACCTTTTTTTTCTATTATCCTGTTAGTCTTCAGAAGACTTCAAAAATTGGCACTGAGTGTTATTGAAAATACAATGACAGCTACAATAAATAAAATAGAGATCTGGAAGAAAAAGCATTACTCATGTCACTGTTTTGAGTCTTGCCAAGTGGGCCTGGTAGCGGTGTCCATATTTGTGTACATTGATTATACATCTTATATACATATATATATTTGGAAAAATGGTGGCTTTCCCTCTTCAATTTCTTTACCAGCAAAATAAATTGCATAGCATATATAGTAAACAGTGGACTTTTTAGCAAGCTAATTTTCTTTCAAGCAGAGGTGCTGTACAGTAGCTTTATTATATTCATTAACAAGTGTAGAATTGCAGTATAAGTTGCTTTTACCTCCTGTGATGAAACTTACCTCTGGGCCAGGTGGAACCATAAACTCTTTGTTGGCTGTGTTGCTGCTCCAGTAACTTCTGAATGTTTTTCTCCTCAAGCTTTTAGAGCTGTATGTGAACATTCAAGGGGATTCATCTCAGCTAATACTTAAATTTCTGTTGTAATGACTGGAGAGTGATTTATCCCATCCAAGAATGGACTTTTAAAAGAAAATCATGTGGATTCTTCTCCACTGAGTACAAAGAGGCCTGAGGAGAAAAATTCTGCTCTGGGTATCTGTATTGTAGGTACCCAGGCTTAATTCCAATGTTTCAATCATATATGGCTGGAGCAAATAGAAACCATTAAAACAGGGGTAGTGTAGTAAAGTCTCTGTTTTCAGCTCCTGGATTTTAAGAATAGTTAAGAATTAAAATAGATGTATGAATTAACCCCATTGGAATTAGAAAGGATTAAGCTAGTTCAAGAAGAGTAACAGAGGTTGACTTGACTTTCTTTAAAGACGTCACTACTAGAAATGAGATTTCCTCTTCTCCAGATGAATCTCATGACTTCAAGGGTAGAAAGCATGGAATTTAGATTGTTGGATGTGTTTGCCTAGCAATTCTGAAAGGATGAGGTTAGTAAAAGCAATGATCCTATGTTATGGAATGCTGTTTAGGGAACTGGCTAATGTCAGCTGGCAGCCATGTTCCACAAGAAAAGCATTATAGTGACAAGTATATTAAATTATATATACAGTCCAAGTACAGAAATTCCTAATTTATACAGAAACCATTAAGTATATGTACTTGATAACAGAAAACTGATGCAAGTTCTGTTTTCTTCCAAAACCAGTAAAAATAGCCACTTGTAAGTATTGGATGAGTGATTGTGCAGATGTTGCAATTATGAACAATAAAGCATGTTGATTGTGTGACTTCACATGCATGTTGCTGTGAATCTTGAGTTACATTTTCCTGTTCTAACAGATAACCTACCACGATGCGGTGCATTGGAGAGTTTGGTGAATGAGATGTCAGATGAAACGTGGAATGAGCGGGCGGTGAACAGAGTCAGTGCAATTCGCTTCTTAGAAGATGAAAAAGATGAAGAGGAAAATGAAATGGTATGTTTTCCAAGCCTTTGGATACCTCCAGATACTGTGAAATTAATGCAGAAGTATAAAAAGTCTGTGAGCATTCTTGCTGTAAATATTTCAGCTTGGACTGCATGCTTTGTGTCTACATTTGGAAAAGAAACTGCTCATGCTGGCTGCTGAAACTTTTTATGTTGACTTTGAATGCCTTTGTTTTTTCTGCTTTGAATATAACTTTCGTATTCTGATGCAGGATAGTCTTCTGTTTTGCTTTGTTTTCCTCTGTCTGCTCAGGATGTTTTGTTCCCAGAAAGAAGATAGGATCTTTCTCTGCATCTGTGAAGCTTTACTGCCTGAAAGTATATAGGGTCTAATTTAGGATTCCAGCACTCTTGCATGTGTCTCCATTAAGTTTGCTATTGTTTGTCTCTCTAATTTCTATTTCCAGTCTCTTTTGTGCTCTCTCTCATTCTTTTTTTCTTTTTTGGTTTTTTTTTTTTTTAACTCCACCATTTGCATTTGAACCAACCATAGTATCCATGAACAGCAGGAATGTTGCTCATTAGTTTCCCACCTAAAAAAAGGATGTGGGAACATCTGTCACTGTACTTATAAGACCTCTCCATTAAGTTGGGCTCTGCATATCCTGAAGATCAAAACACAACACGATCTGTAGTTTTACTAGCTTTTATTAACAATTAAAACTCCTTGTAAAGATTAACACTGCTTCAGTCACATTTTCAGTGTGCTCTGATGCTCTGAGACGTTGCTGGTGGTCCTCATTAGATCTCAGCTTGAGATCCTTCAGGGCACTGTGTGGATTGTTTTAGTTTAAAAAGTGACTACAAAACCTCTTACTTTAGTTTGGAAATGAACAAGTAAGGTAGTTGCTTACTCCAAAGCAGCAGAAAGAAAGTGTCTCTTAGCAGGCTTGGTTCACTGACTGATAGGGAGTTCAGAATGATGCTGCTTACCAGCTCTGCCAACCTGAGAATGTCCATAGAGTAGTGAGGGCTCAGCTGTTGAGGATAAGTGCTTGATTTGCCTGATTTGAAGCAAGAATCTTCTTTTTGGAAAAGTTAATGATCTTACTGAGGAGAACAAAGGGCAGATTTCCAAAGCAGTCTTGACCAAAGCACCCACGTGGGTCATCAGTTCTGCTGTTCTCTGTACAGTTTACATGCATGCCACTAAAAAGTAATTGCATGTATACATGTATTATACCTATATTGTATTTGTGGTGTTCTGTTGTCTCCAGCTTGGGTGCTAACTGGAGTTTTTGTCAATCTTGTTTTCCTTGTAAAGGTTTCAGCACAATGATATACATTCTTCTGTCTAAGGTGGGAGAGAAATGCTCCCTCTCAAGGTGCTTGTTCTCAATTAACTAGAGAGCTAGACTGTATGCTGGGGCTGAAAGGCAAATGGAGCTCCACACAAGCACTGTTTAAAACTTTAAAGAGATCTTGTGGGATTCTTTCAAAATCAGATGAATGCTTTAAGTGTGATCTTAAACCACTTGTATGGTTTTGCGGAGAAAGAAAGTCCCAAAGTATAGTTATGAAAGAAATCTTCACTTCATAACTTTTAATTGTACTTCACATAAGTGGCTTTCAGATTAGTATTCCAAAAGAGGACAAAATTTGCTCTTGGAGACTTCTGAAAACCTCTTTCCCTGTCTTCATACACAAGTAGCTTTTAAAGTAATGCTCAGCACAGAGCATGTAGTTTGAAAAGGAAAAGGGGGGAAAAAAGGAAAAAAATTGATACTTACTATTTGGTATGTGAATGCTGAAGCCTTTTAAGTGTGTGTTGTTTTTGCAGAGGGACAAAGGCAAAACCACTTATTGCACTGTTTATTTTTAGAGAACACTTCTAAGGCGAGCCACTCCACACCCTGGAGAATTAAAGAACATGAAAAAGACAGTGGAGAATTTACGGAATGATATGAATGCTGCTAAAGGACTGGATTCAAACAAAAACGAGGTCAATAATGCCATTGACAGAGTGACCACTTCTGTGTAGAGTTCCATCTCCAGGTTTTACCTCCTGTGTCTTCCCCTGCTGTTGAAATGTTCCTGTCGTCTCCTGGGACCTCACTGAGCCCCTTTTTGTTTTTAACCAGAACCTGATTCATCGTCTCCATACACACAAAAAGTGCAGCCCGCTGGAAGAAAGTGCCTTATTTCATCCAGGCAGTAAACCAATAATTTCCAAATCAATATTGTAATTTTAATAGTCCTAGGCTTTTTTAAGTTTAATACACTACTGTATGCAGAATACAATATTTTTGTCTTAAACACAGGGGAAATAATGCTTTTCTTTTCCAGAGTGCTGGGATATCTTCTTCCCAGTGGCTGGATGTGCTGGTGAGAAATATAGTTTTGGGGGAAATCGATACACTTTTTTTATTTTTTTGGCAGCTCAGATGGTGTAAATTTAAAATTTTTGTATAGGACTTTCATAACAAGATGATGTATTTCATTTTTAAGAGAAAATTTATCTTGAGCGGTACATATTTTAGTATTTGTGGAAGAGAACAAGTTTCATGGACAACTGTATTCATTTGTTTGTACCACCCATTGTGCCTTATTGTGTTTGGTATGTCATATTAGTCTTAAATATAGCAATTCTTGAGGAAAGTGAGTAGATTTGGTCTCCTGCTTTAGATATGTTTTTCTTTTTGGGCAATAATTTGTCGGGAATTTTACAGCACAGAATTTATGTTTATATTATGGGATCTTAGGATGTGAAGCACAAATGTTAGTTTTGTTGTAAACAGAATTAAGATGAAATGACCAAACTGCTATTGTTTATTACATAATGCACTCACACTTTAACTTAGTTGTAATGAAACATCTTGGTTTGGATGCCTTGTTGCATTGCAGTCACTAGAAGTTCATGCTTCCATTGTTTTTTTTTTAAATGTGCCATCTGTAAAATAACTTGAAAAACAGCACGGTAGACTTTCAGAAGCACAGTATGAAATTAGTTTTATGTATTACACAAGAAAGCATGATTCTTTAAAGTGCTTTGGTGGTTTTATAAAAATTTATAAAACCATAATAAAAACATCTTTAAAAGCTTCAGTAGATGTGATGTATCATTAAAACAGCAATTAAAGTATCTCTGCATTAATGCTGTCATTGTAACTGTGTTGCACTTCTATTGCCCAATGCTGATTTCAAGGTCTTACTAAATCTGTGAGTTTTGATTTGTTTATAAAGGTAAGTATTAACTGAGTTTAATTCAGTAAATAACAATTTTGTAAAAGCCTGATAAAGACTGATGTTGATGTCTCTGGGTTCTGTTCATTTCTCTTCCCCAAGATTCCTCATTTAAGCTTCAAGACATGGTTTTGCAGGAGGATGCTGGAGGTTTGTACATGTTAGGTCACTTCAGTGGTAGTGAAGTTTTATTCTTCTCAAGGCACAGTTCTCCTGGTTATTCTTGGTAAGCTGCTGTTAAAATAAAACCAAAAATAAAATCAGGTTTTGGTACAGCTGACTCCAGCCTTGGGTAGAATTTTCTTTTTAAAGTACTTACTGGAATTGACACAACAAAAGTTTAAAAGTGTAGTAAAGCCTATACCCAAGAAAGCAGCAACAAACCCATTTGAGATGAAAGGAAGTTCCTAAAAAAGACAGTTCCTAAAAAAAGCCAAAGGCAGCAAGACTCTGTGATGCCAGTTTCTCATTTGGAGGCTGTGGCTTGCTTTGTTTTTAGCATCTGCTCCATCAGCAAGATGAATGTGTAAAGCCTTGCCTGACCTGCCACCAGATGAAAATAATGAATTGCCCTTGTGCACGTACTGCAGTCAGAACAAGATGTAACTCCTGTTGCAGCTCTGTGACATGTGCTGTGTTGTTTGCTTTTTGTACATTCCAGCAGGCTCGTGGAGGCTGCTGCAGCCCACAAACTCACCACAGGGCAAGCGCTACTTGCTGCATCCACTTGGGCACAAAGTAACTGGTCAGCAGTCAGTATTTTTTACTTTGGTGATTTTTTTTAAATAGAGGAAGGAATATTTGTTGTGGTTTCTCTGGCTTCAGTTAAATGAGTGAGTGATCCAGGCTGGTTGCCTTCATTTGGAAGTTTCACACTCCTGCACCCAAGGGTGGCTGGTATTGTTTCCTTGTGGTCATCTCAAGCCAAAGATGGGTGCTGTGATGGGTGTATTGCATATTGAAGGTGTTTGCTTAATGGGAGATTAGAGGAGCTGAAATCCATCATCACACCAGCCAGCTACTTATGAGTGTTGGCATTCCTTGCTTTTCACTGCCATCTTTTTTCACTTTGTTAACCTGTGTAGTGGAAATCTGGATTTTTGTTATGTTTTTTCAGTCAGTATCTGGGGAGAGATAAAGGAGGAGGTGTATTTTTCAGGCTTCTGCAGTAATACTGTGTAGCACTGTATCTCATTAATGTCCTTTGTTTATGCTTTTTGGTGAGGCAGTTTGAGATTCAGCTCTGCTGCAGGTAGTTCAGCAGTGTGTACAAGGTGTGTAGTGTTTGAGTGTGGCAGTAAGTGTAATTCCAGGGTGCACCCTGAGGTATGGCAGCAGCCAGTGGTGGTATGGAATAGGAGCAGATGAAGTGTTGTTTTTCAGGGCTGACAAGGTGCTTGGATTCTTGCTGTGCAAACAGAGACAAGTGGCTACGCTCTCTGTTCTCCTAATGCTGGTTCAGTGACTTGCCTGTCATTGTTTGATCAAACCCCCATCAGTCTAGACCTCAGGAGCCCCTCTCATCTCTTGAGTGATCCGTGTGTGTGCTGTTTTATGGAGTGGTTGAAGTACCCTTCTCCACCCAACAGCGCTGATAACATTCCAGGCAGTTTTAACTCTGTTTTATAACCAGAAAAAGTTGATGACACATGTTCTGATGTGTGTCTGTCCTTGAAAGCTTGAGTCCTCTCTTCCTAGTCTCTGTTTGTTTTTCTCTTGCTGATGCTGTGAGGAGCCTGAGTAGTGAATATGATTGACTTCTTTCTCTATAAACTTTTCCTTCTTTACTTTGTCTTTTGAGAGGTGGGTTTAATGGAAAGAGGCTACAAAATTTGCATGCTGTTTTATTAGCTATAAACAGGTAACCAGGGTAAATCAACTCCACAGTGGTGGAGTGGATTTAATATTAACCTGCCAGTTACTGCATACAAGTTCTCTTTATTCAAAGTCACAATTCCTAGTCTTAAAAGAAGAAGAAGAAGAAGAAAAAAGGCACTGTGGTGCTACTGTAGTTAGTGTAGCAATGGCTTTTTCCATCCCCTGTGTGTTGCTCTAGGCTTTTCCCACAACTTCCCACAAATTTATGTGTTGAGATTATTTTTCTGGCTTAAGTTCCATATTTTTGATAATCAGTGTATTGTAGGAAAGTATGTACTGGAAACTTGTATAACGCTGTTCTTTCCAGCAAGTGACTTGTTTGTGTCCTGCTTGGCCTGCTTCTGGTCTAGCACTGATGCTTTACCAGGGCTGGGTGAGCAGCTGTTTGCTGATCAGCTGCTTAACAGGTTTCACTACTTGGAGCTCATAATTTCAGTTTTTAAGAGAGAGTAGTGACGCCAGGAATTTAATTTTATTAAAAGTGCATTTTTTAGTATATTGGTTGATACTATCCAGGTTTGCTGTAAATGTCTGCCCGCCACTGAGACAGAAGCACACTGTTTATCAGAAATGTCTAGACTTTTTGTTAATGGAAAATTCACCCCCGTTCTTTGCCTTGACTCCAGAAAATAAAATTACTTTAGTTTTTCAATTGACTTGATAAGAGTGTTTCCCATCTTCAGTTTCTGACAAACACACAAATGGGTTTTTGTGCTTGGATTGCTGTCAGGGAATGTGACAAAAGCTGGTCTTGAGTATCAGTAATTGTTTTGGGTGTTCCCTTTCTCCTGAAGCAATTGTGAAATTTTCACTGGGATGGTGCCTCTGTCTTTTATTGTAAAGTCAGGGCTATAATCATTGTTCCACCAGCTGAATGAGGAATGTGATTTTTTTATTTTTTCCAAAGTGGGTAGCACATGCTTGATTTGAGCTGCCTCTGTGAGCTGCTTTGCAGGAGCCATCCTGTCTCCTCTTCTGGTGGGTGTTGGAGACACTGTTTGTTTCATTCCCTGGTGTGCAGTTGTTGTGGCAGTGGGCTGGTCAGTCATGGGTTCTGCCAGAGCACAGGGCTCGGAGGAAGGAGCTCAGTGAGTGCAGCTGGACTGTGAGCTGACTTCAGGTTCCAGGGTTCATGGCAGTCTGGTTTTGAATTTGCAACCTGTTCAGGGTGTTTGCCTCTAAACACTGTTGTTACTGGCCCATCAACTCTGCGATCTTAACAAGTAGTTTATCTTTTCCCAGGAGAAGACCTCTCCTGAAAATACAGTATCACTGCTGTCCGTGGAGAGAACTGTGTGGCTCCTCAGTGATGTTTCAGAGAAGGGTTTTAGCAAACCTTCCTCGGCATTAAAAGCAGGAAGTGGACACCTGATGTGCAGTAACCTTTGACACTGTTCCTCTGATGTGCTCATCTGTTGCTGGGAACGTTGTCTTGGCTGAAATCTCTGATGTGCAGCTGGTACTAACAGCCAAACACAAAATGTTAGCAACGCGCACTGTGGAAGACCAGTGCTGACTGCAGTACCTTTCCTCTAGATCCACAGATGCACACAGATCCACAGAGCTTGGAAATACCACTAAAGCATCAGCAGCTTGCATTTCAGTTTGTAAGCATCCCCAGTATAAGGCAGAGAAAGTTTTAGTTGGACACAAAACTAATTAAGTGCTTCTAAGTCCTGTCTTCTTTTTCTTCTGAAGCAAACTTGGGCGAGTTGTGGTGATGTGCTTGTGATGGAAACAGTCTGGTGCTATGATCACTCTCAGTAACTTGCTAGTTTCATTCAGTTCCTACATAAATGGTAGTGAAATGCTTTAAATCCTTCTGAAGTTGCTCATAGGAGATAGGATTGTCCCATACTTCTGGAACATTAAACATTATAATCATGACTACATCCTTATAAACATGAGTGAATTTCTTTATAGTTTATTAATGGCATCCTCCTGGACTTCCACTAAGCAACTTAAAACCAAATCCAAATGAACTAACAAAAAGGTTTGTTTCAATATTACTGATGACTTTTCTTCATTCATAAAGAGAGAAAACTTCAAGTCTGAAGAGCATTTGCATAGTGGACGTTTTTAGGATAACCTACAGCAATTTTTAAAATTGTATTTTCAGAAAATTAAAAAAATCTTATCTCTATAGTTAATACTTAAGTATCTGAGTTTGAAATTAAATTGTGTATTTACTGCTAGCAAAGTGTATAAGGCTTGCTTCCATAATCAGTGTAGGCAGCTTTTACACTGCCTCTCCTCCAGTGGAAGCATATTCAAGGATGCCTTTGTTTCAGCAGTGTTTTATTTAGCTTTGTTTCATGTGAGTTACACAAAGCTTTCTTAGAAACAACCTTTTGCACTTTAAAAAGGAAATGAGTCTGAAATAGTTTTTGATTAGTAGGATGTGTTACGTATAGTTGTACTATGAAGCAGGAAAGTGTTTATGTTCTAGGGAATGCATCCTTAAAACCATTTTCTCTCCCATAATTGTGCTGTTAAAGCAAATCATCTTTTAAATAGAAATATAGGACAGAATGTTTATTTGGGGTTTTGAGTTGAATTGGCAGGTGTATGGCCATTGAAATGTTCCATGTAGCTGGATTCTACTTGCCAGTGGAAACCAGGCTGTGGCTGTAAGCAGTGTGTTTCACTGTCAGTGTGATTTCAGAGACAAGGGAGGCTTTCATATCTTTGCTTTTATTGTTAGGCTGATTTGGATTCTCTTTCATTTGCCAGAATGTTTTAGGGTGATACATAGCATTTGCACACCTTTGTTTTCTGGAGGGCATTCATACTCTAGGGCATCTCTTAGTGAGATCTTATCAGAATAGACACCTTGTGCTTTATGAGAACAATTTGTCCTCTTAACTACAGGGGTATGATACACAGCAGTAGTTATGTTATGGAGAGACTGCCTTTGAAAAGATGAAAAACATGTTGAAAGGAGGTAAAAACGTCACTTGACTTGCTGGTGAAATACTGAAGCAAAATGGTCTGTTACCAATCAGTTAGGCTCATTAACAGTGAAAGGAGAAGAAAAATGTGTTTCCATGGAACATAATAACTGCTAGGCTGATAAATATTTTCTCCCTCCAAACACTTCTGGTTTTACAAAACAAGCAGTGTTACACCACCCACATACCCATGAAGCTTAAAGCCCTAAATACAGAATTTGCCTTCTTTTTTTCATTCCAGTTACTGTTAACAAAATGTAGATCTGTGTGCATCTCACTTTGTGTTTGTTGCTAATGACTGAAACCAATAATATTTTTAATTTTTGTTGATCTTAGCTTCCCCACATATGAAACACAAGAAAAAACTTCCAAACTCTACCTGTGTAGTAAGAAAACCAATTATAATCTGTAAAATTCTGTGAGGGGAACTGATTTTTCTTTCTTCATGTTAGGATATTTGCCTGTAGCCTCCTGTCTCAAAGCATGGTCCTGAAGTATTTAATAAAATGAGAATGAGCTAATAAATTACTGCAAGTTTTTAAAGAGAGCTTCATTTTTGGAGTACAAATCTGCTATCTATTACCTGAACAACATTGAGGGGTAATGGAAACTTGTTGCCATCTATATCAGTTTTCATTAATACATCAAAATAAGGAATCAGTTTCATTTTTGGCAAGGAAAACAAAATCCAGTAAAAAAATCAGACTGAGAGGTTGAATTCACTATCATATTTCCAGCCCTCTCCCTTTTTTTCATCAAAAAGCATCAAGTTTTAAAAAAACAATTTGGAATTAAGATTTGTCTGCAAAATAATATTAGCCTGCAGTCACAGCAGTAGCATTCATTGCAAGGTTTCTCCATTTTACTTTGTGGAAGTATAATTCTTGTGTTTTGCATAGAGCAGGTACATGCAAATATAGACTAAAAGGCATTTCTAATTGTTCCATTCCATCTTTTGCTATTGATACAACCAAATCATGAAACTGCTTTCATAAATATAATGCTATCCACAGTACTGTGAAGACCTAGTGAAAATTCTTTGCCAGAATTGTTCCATTGTTTCTATTTTACTTTGTAGCACTGTAGATCAATAATATTAAAGAGTAAATTTTCTTGGGTACAGGCATCAGACAGGTACTGAATTTTCCTTACAGCTGAATGTCAGCATGAGGAAAAGCCTCCTGCCAAAGGAGAAGGCAGACAGGGAGCAGGAGTGCCCTTAGCTCTGTGTTCTCAGCTGAACTGCAGACGGCATAGGGATGTAGAATCTACTGATGTTCATCACCTTTGCAAACAGGAGGCTGCCACTGCAGCTGAATCTATGCCTAAAATGATGAAGGGATTGTCAGCATAAGTGTAATTTGAAATCTGTCTGTTACTTTGGGAGAATAGTCTTTTCCTGTTTTTACAGAATTTGGCAGGCTGAGTTTGAGAGGATTTTGTTTAGGATTAGGGATCAGGGTTGAACAAGGATGAGATGTTTTCTTGGAAGAAGTGAAATGCTTCACTGTACCTATGTTTATTTTTAGAGTGAAATTGCTTTATGACTGCCTAATGAGCTTAAAAGTTGACAAGGATTAAGCTGTGTCTTGAAATACCCCGAACATTGAGAGATGGCACATTAGCTAGTCTGAAATACAACTGTCCAAGATGCTAGCAAACAATTTCACCTCGTGTACTGTTTATCTGATTAGAATTGCTATCCCCCTAGTTAATATTCACAGAAAGCAAAGTTTCTGTTTAGGGGCACCCTATGTTTTCTTATTCAAGACAAGTGTGAAGAAATATCTGGAGATATCCTGTCTTGCATTTTGAATTGTCAGGAGGAAAGGGAGACGCTGCTGTGTTGTGATCGTTTGTGCTGCTTTCCCATTGATCAACTAAATTGACAATCACCTCCAGTGTCCTGAGCAATGTGCTTTAGAATAAGCAGGAATATGGGCTATTTACAGCAAATAGCAGTATCACTGAGTGTCAGTGCCGTTCAAAATGTGGTTTAACAGCAAATCTCCTGGAGGAAAAGGCCAATCATGCCTTTCTTGTACAATACAAATAATCCTGTGATGCGGTTATCATCTCTTCAAGACTCACAGAAAGGTCTAGGCTGTTTTCCAATGAGATGCTGGGATACTGTCCATTTCCTAGTGTTTTCAGCCATCCTAAAACTGAAAGCAAATGAAGAATCCCAAGGGGACGACCTTCTTTGGCAGCTGAAGATGAATCAGTGTGTCCAGCATGAACAGTCTTGTCCTATTTCCTTGTCGTTTTCCACCTTAGATCGAATAGAGATGGTGACATCTGGGTTGCTGGTAGCAGCAGCATATCTGTGTGTGTGTATGTGAATGTAACCATTCTGCACTTAAAAAGGAAAACAGAAACTTAAAGAACTGTTAAATCTGAATCAAATACCTGTTAAAACACATGAAAGTCACAATGTGCCTCTGGTTGCCCCACTAGAAGTTTTTTTTTGTTTTGCCGGAAATTGTTTGTGTTTGTTTTCTCCATTGATGTACCTTATTTGGCATCAGGCTGCTTTTTGCCACTGGATTTGTATTACTGTAAGAAAATGCAGAAATGAGATTTAAAGAAAGCTTCAAAGAAAGATAAAGGTTACTTCGAAAAATTGCTTCTAAAATTCAGCACGTAAGCAACCTTGACACAACTTGTCATGTATAAACTTCTCAGTGAGAAAGGTGGAGTATTTTGGATACAAATAAGTAATGGACATTTTGGGATAACTGAACTATAATCACTTTGTAAATCAGCAATCCTTAAAAGATCAGTTAAGTGTTGTGGTTTCTACTGGTACCATTCAACAAATGAAAGATTTTATTTAATGAATAATGAAGAGGGGAGTGACTTGATAGTTTTTTTAGCTCAGGTCATGAGGTGAGATGGTCACTAAAGATCTGAGTATTCTTGTTTGTTTTCTCAGTACTACACTTTATTGAAGACTGTTGTCCCTCATTAATTCTTCTTTATAATGCTGAAGGTAGGTTTGGTCGCACGCTCTTACAAGTCCTTAAAGGCTTCCACTATTCTCAGCAGCCTCTGCTTGCTCTTTGTATCACCAGTAACACCCATTAACTGGCAAAGTGTCTCTGTGGGACTGAAGGTACTTCTAAAGGTAAAAAAGGGAAATGCAGGATTTGCAAGAATCTGAAATACCTTGCAGAACTTGCCATTAGTTTCTGCACTTCCATACCTCAACTGCTTGCTTAAAATCTATTCATTGCCTTTTTTTTTTAATGTCCTCTTTCCCTCAGGATTCTATTAAGTGGCTTCCCAAGTCTCCCAAACTGCACAGTGGCCATAACTGGAGCTCCCAGGGCTCTCGCTGGGCCTCACTGAAAGGGAGGGAAGGTTTTCCTGGTGGTAACCTGTACAAATTCAGCTCTGCCAATGGGAAATGGAGAGAAGGGAGGATCAGTCCCGAGCAAGAAGCAGAGGAACTCGAGGATCCTGATGATGTAAGTAGTCTTGAAATTGGGAGAGACAATGTGCATCTGTGAAGAGGCTGCAGCTGCTCACACTGCTGTGCAGCAGAGCACGTTGGGTCTGTGGGACCTGCACTGCTCATACTCTCACGTCCTTGCTTGTGCTGAGGGTACAGAGCTATGTTCAATATTTCCTTCACTTTGCTTGCAATTAATCCATCCAACCCTCAAGAGTACAGTTTGACCTGCAGGTTAAGATGGGTAACCTGAGCAGTGATGAGACATGTTTGTACTTTACCCTGCTTACATCCCCAGTCACCAAGCTCCCTCCATCTCTTTCAGGTAAGTGGGCTGCTGGCAGCACTTGGGGCTCAGCGTCTCCCTAGGCCTGGATGCTAGAAAAGCGAGGTTGCAGTGCTCCTCCACTGCATCTTGATTTTGGGTGCTGCTCCTCCAGGATGCTGATGCCTCTGAGCCCCTGCCTGCTGTAATTTCTCCTGCCTGTGCCTGCCAGGTGTCTGTCACCTGTGCTGCAGCCTGCTTGTCCTCTTGGTCCTGGCCTGGGAAAGGGAGGTGGGGATTGCACTCTTGCAGCCTTTCCCTGTCAGGCCATTGCTCACCATTCTTCCTGGTGTTAGCTGGGAGATGAGGCAGGAATTGGGGCTCCTGCTCCTCTTCCAGGACCTCTGCTTCCTTCCTATCTCCTGTGGGTGCTGCTGGTGTGCCCCCTCCTCCAGCCTGCACTCCTGGCTCTTGCTCATGGCCTTCTTCCCTGGCACCCACAGCCCTGCAGAGTGTCCAGCTTAGTCAGCCTGGCACTCTAAAGAGAAATCTCTCTCAAGAGAGGAAAGGTAATAAATGTTTTATGTGAGTCAAAGCTAAGCAAATTCCCTTTTAAGTGAAAATGGGAAGCAATCATGCCTTTTATGCTTTCCCTGGGGTTGGCAATGCTTTTTTCCATCCTAACCAAAAAGAGATTGTGGGAAAGTGCCAGTATAGATTGAAAAATAAACTGTCCAGTGGGGTTCTGCACAGCTGTTCAAGGTAATACCACTGCTTTTTATTTTGGTATTAAACTTCCAGGCTTAGAAAAACACTTATGGGGTTTATTTTCAGAGGTGTTGATGTGTGTTTGCTGCATCGTTTTACTGCCAACAGGAGAGAGAAGGATTTGGGCAATACAAAGATCTGATTTGACAGGAACTCATCAAATTAAGGAGCAAAAATCAGCTAAATATAAGTAAAGCTTTCCTTAAATGTGAGCAGAATTTGAGCACTGTGTCTGAATTTAATTTAACCCCTTCCTAGGAATAACTGATAGCTGGAAAACATCACTACATTTTGCAGTCAGACTTGTCTGAAGCTTTAATTGTTTGGTGGATGTATTTTAATTGTGTATACCTCTCTTCAAGCCCTTGTGGTTTAGCTAAGCATTGGGTGACATTGTGAACTCCTCACTGCATCTCAGAGTAGGTTCACCCTAGGGCCAGGCTTCAGAGTAGGCTTTAGTATGCATCACCTTTGAGGTTCCATTTCCAAAGGACTCCTAAATCATTTAAGTTTGCATCTCTCCACTCACTGCCATTTGCAACTGAAGTCAATCCAATGACTGAAACAAAGTCTTGGATACATAGATGCAAGGTAGGGCCTTGCCTTCCCTCTCACACCTATGCTCCCAAGAATGGAATGTGAGTTTTGAGGAACTATGAGAAACATTTTATTTTCTGTATGGAAATATCTTTCCTTTGCCTTGTGTGCGTGGTTCCTTCCCCCAGAAGAGTGGATTCAGTGCTACAGAGCTGCCAGAGGCTGGCCAAAATAGTCTAGTTCTCACTGCACTGCCATTTTCACAGGGCATTGCAGGATTTGTGCACATATGGATATGTGTATGTTACCTGTGCTTGTGTGTGCCAGAAAATCTAGTGAAAGGATGTACAAAATCCTAGTCCTCTCCCTGTTCCCTCAAGTTCAACCCCAGCACTGAAGGCAAAACATGCCCAGAGAAATAACGGTAAAAGAAATCTTTGTATGTTTGCTGTAAAGTTCCAGTTTTGTTTTCAATGAAATAAATTCTATCATACAGCAGTGTGAGGGTGAGGAATGAGTCCATGTTAGCACGGGTAAGGTGTGTGTTTCAGCTTCTCCTTCCTGTTGCTGTGTTCACCTTTTTTATCTTTAACCCTCAGGAACCTATCTCCAAGTTTTCCGGCAGCCTTTTTGATAGCAACGAAAGCGTGCGAGATCAAAGAAACAGCAGAGCAACGCTCCAAGAAAAGCACAAGTTGGCCATGAAGGGGAAGGCTCTTGCAGGGTCTAACAGCAGGGTGCAGCCACCCGTGTCAGCAGCAGGCAGCTTCCCCAGCCAGGGCGGCCGCGCCGCCGAGGAGCTGCGTGCACTGGATGTGCCGCAAACCCCGCTCAAGGTCTGCAACTGCTGCTGCTGCTGTGGGGCACTCCCGTGTCTGTGGGGCACTCCAGTGTCTCCCTGTGGGGCACTCCGGTGTCTGTGGGCACTCCTGTGTCTCCCTGTGGGGCACTCCAGTGTCTGTGGGCACTCCTGTGTCTCCCTGTGGGGCACTCCCTTGTCTGTGGGGCACTCCTCTTGGGTGAGGCAGTTTATGAAAGATGCAAAGAAGGGAGGACATTGCATGGCAGATGTCATGAGGCATACCTTAAAGTGAGTAAGCTGAGGGTTGTCATTGTTCCCCATGGCTTACATGGAAGAAGAATTTCCTCTTTAAAAACCCCAACGAAGCCCACTTTCCTTGCAGCCATGCATCTCACTTCATGTATCCAGCATTAGTATTTTGAGGCCTAGTCAGAGGTACGTGCAGGTGGGCCCTGAGCTGAATGCAGTTCATTCAGTCCGTGGTTTCACAACAGTGATGTCTTGCATGTGCCAGTGTTGAAGCACTATTTTTCACAGGGCTGGGCTCTTCAGGAGCATGTCTGCTGGTGTTGAGAGTGGGAGGCAGATTTTCAATGCTCACATAATTAAGAGGCAATATTTTTGATTATTCAGGTTACTTATCCATTATAATTCTTTTCCAGGTAACCATTACTGTGTGCAGTCAAATGGGGAGCCTTGGTATTAGCATTGCTGGTGGAAAGGGCTCATCTTCATGTAAAGAAAGTGATGAGGTGCATTTCATTATTAAAAATTTGTCTAGAGATTGTTAGGAATAGACTGATGAGTAGTTCCTTGAGTTGTTGTGTTTTGTTGTTTGCTTTCTGAGATTGTCCTTCCTGTAACATTTCCATCTTTCTAAAGCTAACAAGGGTAAACAGAGGTAGCTTGTTTCCCAGAGTAGGATCTGGCATTACATTTTGATGGAAAGCTCCAGAAGGGATGATTTGGGAGAGATACCCAAATATAAACCAATGATTTTGCAAAGGCAACCTGATGGCTGAAACACTGTTGCCCAATTCTCATTTTCTGCCTTAATTTGGGGTCATTCCCTTGGCAATCTACATGCCTCTCCCATCTCATTTGCTCATTCCCAGGAGCTAACTTGATTTGAGAGAAATATTTCACACATATTCTCACTGATTTTTCTTTTAAGTAAATCTTTGTTTTCCAGTCTGTTCCCCATGGCACAGTGCAAACAATTACTGACTTTTGTTCATTGTTGTATGTGTCTGCCATGGAGGCTTTTTTTATTTTGTCTAGCCAATGTGCTAAGGCATCTAGTTTTTAATTTTATGGAGGCAACAAAACAATAATTCTTGAAAATTAATTACTTCCCATTTGCTTTTTATATCAATGGGAGAACAATGGGAGAAACTGTCCCTTCTGAAACCTGTGTTTTGTGTTACCAGGGGATCCTGATTGCACGGCTGCCAAAAGATGCTCCACCAGACTTGGCTGGTGTACAGGCAGGAGACAGAGTGGCTGAGGTAGATGGGTTGTTTGTCACTGTGGAGTGTGTTCTTTTGTTGTTGTCTTTAAATCAAACCACTTAGAGTTGGGGAGCTTGACATCCACATCTAAGCTGGCCTTAGCTTTTTAGATGCTTGCTATTATGAAGAAATTATAATAGCATTAAATTGTTGTATTTCTTCTTATTGTGTTCTAGTTGTCAGATCTTTATGTTCAAGTGCTTAACAAAATATTATTCATTTAAATGAATGATTTACAAAGGAAAACAATGGTCTTTAGTGGTTATGTAAGTATAAATGAAGTATTTGATCCAAGAAGCTTTCTTGTGACATGGTATTAGATTTACTAGATGAGTTCATTACACTTGCAACAAAGAAATATAAACTAGATGAGCTTGTTTCCCCAAGGTAATTTTTGGTGGGAAGAGAACAGCTCAAAATAACTCCCCTGATGGAGGCTTGCAGTACCAGGGGAAAATGTGCCTCTCAGGCTGCTCCACATCAAGCCTCATCTTTCCTAGCACAAGCCACATTCTTGAGCTTCAGAATTTCCCAAGAGCAATGGGGGAAAAATGGCCACATACAATTTTGTGTTACATACTTTTGATGTACTGTTTGCTTTCTACCTGCTGGGAATGGTGGAGTAGGAAGAGAACCTCTACAGAATTACTTTGAAGTGTAACTGGCCCATATTTCTTTCAGCTCTTGTTCTCTTAAACTGTCATTTATACTTGGTTATATTAATAGTTTTTGTTCCAGCATGGTCCATGTTGAATTAAGGTGGGATAGAACAAGCAATATTGTCTGTATGTTAAATTGACAGGAATAATGATACAATCTGTATCAGCCAAAGACTTTAATGATAAATTAATCTAATAATTTTGTAAAACTATGCTATGGAGTTATTAATAGAGGGTGGTGTTCCATAATATGTAAATATTGTGATAGTTTGAGAATTCTTAAAAGGTCAGCTGTAGATAAAAATCTGTATAATTTTGCATTTTTTCTTTAATAAAAAGTATTGTAACAAATGGGAGACAATGTAAATAATTCTCTACATATTTCACATTATCAGATGATTAGGGAAAAAAACACAGAAATTTTAGTTACTGTGCCTTTACTTTCTAAGCAGAGCTTCTGATCAATTTAGTATCTTAAAAATCAACCCCATTGCTCAGGTTCCTCCATAAGGCAATCATTAAATACTCATTTTGGGGACTATTTGGAATATATTAGGTGTTAATGTCTGTTTACTTAATCAATAGTGAAATAGGTGAAAAAGAAGAAATTTCTGTTCTATCCTGTTCTGCCCTGCTGTTATTGTACAAATAGTTAGAATTTCTCCATCTCCCACAAGATGGCAGAATCATTCATCTGTTTAAAGCATATAGAAAACAACTCTCTGCTTTTTCTGTGTGTGTGTGTGACAAGAAGGAATTAATGGGGTGTGCTATAGAAATACTGCTGTTTTTACCACAGGACTAATCTGTGTACAAATAACAAGCATGTTTCTCTTGACACTGTGTGTTACAACTTCTTATTCTTGAACTGGTAATTTCAACAGTTCAAATATAAAATTCACCAAAAATGGGAAACAGCAGGAATTGCAATTTTATTTGCTTTTGCTGTGCAACCACATGTAGCAATAGGGCTAGGTGTTTGTATACTAACTTGAGAGGGAGGGAACTCCTCTTCTTAAACAGCATTCAGAATAAAAATATGTTCCTGGTGTTTTCTTTTAAAGGCCACCTTTGTTTCAGAGCCTGCTGCCCTTCATGCTGATCCTGCTGAAGCTTCCCCCAAGGGCAGCCCCTCCCCGACAGTCAACCACGTCATAACAGTGAGTAGGATGCCCTCAGTAAATAACAAATCTCTCTTACCCAAGAAATTTGTGTTGTCCTAATGTTTGTGTTGTTTTTACATTAATGGTAGTAAAGACTGGCACAGAACTCAACACATGTCCAAGATCAGAGACCTACCAAGGATTTAGGTGGCTGTCCCTGCAGCTGGGACATGGCATCTGGAGGGGCTCAGCTCCTGGGTGAGCACCCAGCTTCTGAAGCACTCTGCTTTGGGGACTCCAGGGTGGTGTCCCTTCCCCCAGTTTGAATCATTGTTCTGTTGTCTGGGCTCTGTCTCTAGCTAATGCAAGGAGCAGCATTTCCAGGGTCCCTCTTTTAGGAGGGAGAGGGTGACCTGCTACCTGGAGGTGGTGACCATTTTCCTCTTCTGACTGGAGGGGAAACTTGTGTCACAGGCTAAGCCATGCCTGTATTTTAGGTGACTGGTGAGAGAAAGCTCACTGCTCATGTCACAGAAGGCAACAGCTGGGCCTGCCGGGTGGCTTTTAGAAATGCACTTTTTTGAACTTCTCTAGCAAGTTCAACTCTCTGAAGACCTACCCTCATCTTGGTCATCTATGAGTACCACTGATGAAACTATGGCTTTACTAGGAAGATACAATAAGATCAAGGTATCTGAATAATTAAGGTCAAAAAGCATCTTACTTGTGTGGAGCTTCAAGTTCCAGGAAGCAACAACTGTTCCTCCTTCAGCAAATGCCAGAGGAATGCTTTGTTTGATTCATCTTCTTTCAGTCTTTGTTTAAATCTTTCTCCATGAATACCATTCACAACCCAGCTAATCACAAAAAATGAAAGTATGTATATTATATAAAAGACTGTAATCAAAGACCATATCAGTGTTTGTAAACCATTTAGATAACTGAAGTGATTTGTTAGTTAACTGAAAAAGTGAGCACATAGATCATTCAACTGTTTTTCCCTGGTTTCCCGTGTTAGTCATTGTCACTGTCAAACTGTGTTTGACATGTTGAGCTACAGCTTTTGTCCATGAGATAGACTAAGCAAGGTTTTCCCTTCTATTAGTTGCTTAAGGAAACTTATTTTGAGGCCTCTGGCCTCCAACATTATCTTGTAGATCATCATTTAGACCAGTTTTATTTTTCAGCTTAAAACACTTTGATAATTTTGGGGTTTTTTGGTCCAGTTTTACCTGGTAGCTGTTTCTTAGTCTTTATCAGCATTGCATGAAGCATGAGGCTGCCTGTTAGAGGAACCACTGTTGGAAGGATTTATTCACACATTGGCAGTGGCCTAGATCTGTTGCAGTAGTGTCTGACTTTTAGTATTTTCACCCAAAAAGGAGAAATTACTGTATTTTTATGTTGGATGTCTCCCTTTAAAGTTCTTCAGATGTAATGGGGGGAGGAGGCAGATTAGACTGAGATACTCAGAGCAGAGTACTCAGAGGGAGTAAACTGGCTGAATAAATTGAGTGTCAAAAGTGCAAGTTCTTTTGTGAAGAAACATTTGTATTTCTGGTTTTGTTTCTTTTTTTTGAAATCAAAATCTTTGTGCTGTAGCAAATGATACATGTTATTTCCTGTAACCTGGAGCAGCATTCATCAATTTTAGGGATTATGGGCTTGTGGGGAGTATCCTGCTGATTTGGGACTGTTCAATTTCTCATCTGTTCTCACTTTGAAGTCCCTCTTATTTCTCAGTAACTGAAAGAAATCCTATTATCTGAAAAATGTTTAGAGCCTGGCTTCTCATGGAGGACTTGCTTTGCATGTTCAGATAAGCAGGTGGCAGTAGGACCTTAATGCAGAATCTTCTTCTGTGCTAGGAATATAGGAAGGTTCATTTCCTCTGTGTTTCTGATCAGGTTTCAATAGAAGATGTTTGTGTCTACATCAGGGGAGGGAAGGATTGAAGCATAATGGCAGAGAAACCAGAGACTCCTATTAGTATTCTGCAAAAACTGAGTATGTGCCAGATGGTGTCATCCTTCTTCTCCCTCTCTTCCGTGTCATCATCCTGCCTTCCAGCAGATACTGTCTTCATCTGTTTATTTTTATTGAATTTTAATAAACATCCTCTTTGCATATGCTCTCTGTGATATTTGTCTCATTCTTGTAGGCACAGCCCAGCCCATCTCTGAGCCAGCTGCTCTGGCATTACAGCAGGCAATGCTGCTGCCAGGTTCAGGTTTCCTCTCTGTTTTCCCAGACCAGGCTTGGTTGCTCTAACTGCTTCTAAAAGGCTCATGTAATTGTCAACTCATCCAGCCAAACTCAATTTCAAACCCTTTGTGTCAGCTTTGGGATTTCATGACAGTGTGAATGACCAGTAATTAATTGGACAAACTAAATGTTCTTTCACAGTGAGTCATTGTTTTGCAAAGGAAAAATGAGAATCTTCCTTGGTTTTAATTATAATTGAGTATTTTGCTGACATGTAGCTAGAGGGCTCAGAACTTTAATTACAAGTAGATAGCTTTTACATACAGTATTTTATAAACTTGCCTCAGTTATGCTAATCACACCTCAAAATTATGAAAATGTATTTATATATATATTAAATAAAGTCTTAACATTTTAATTAAACCTAAACAAAAAAAAAAAAAATCAGGGATATAAACAAATGCCCATGCTGACTTTAACAGAAGGAACTTTAACTTGAATTCTGAAGTCTTCATTTCCAGTTTTGTTATTGTTTCATATCCATCCTCCCAAACATAGAGCCAACTCTTCACAATCTTTCTCCATCATAAATATTTTCATTCAACCTCTGACTGAAATTCCCAGAGGATTTTGTCTGACTGAATGGAGAGTGTTGACAGGTTTCAGCATTTTCTATAATTTCATAATTATTTTCTATAATTTAATTCCATAATTTCATCATCATGCCATCTTCTTTGACTCATTTTTGGGGCTATTAACATAATAAGGATATTAGGTAGATTGTAATTAAAATCAAGTCTTCAAGATATTTCAATCTAGTATTTAACTTAAATTGTTAGCATATTATTTGATTTAATTTTATGCCATTGCCCTGGGAATTTCCTCAATTGTACTTTTTTATTTAGTTCACCAGGGGTACAAGTGTCACTGATAGTGGTATTTTCAAGGATGGGTAAAGTAAGATTAACACAATTAAAAGTGATTGTGTGGATAAATAAATAAATAACGGGTGAAGCTTACAGTACTGAAAAAAATGTGAAGCGCTTCTTTAGAAGGCTAAAAGCACCAATTTTTTGGCTGCTCTGTTAAAAATCCAGAGATACCGAACGTTCCTAAATCTGCTGAAAAAACAGACAAGTGTACCAGAACCTGTAATGTTTATCAAAATGAAATCCTCTGGTGCCTGCAGAAGGTGCATAAGCAGGTACACCATCTCCCACACTATGCAGGTCTTCTGACTTTGTCTCATATTGCTCATGTCCAAGTTGTGAGAAGTCTTACATGGATGAGAATCCCAGCAGATCTACCTGCTTCATTTCTAACTGATAAAAGGCTTTCCAAGAAAAAACCTTGATCCACTTACATTAGTTAAAAATCTTCAAAAATCTAATTATCAAGCTCTTTCTTTATTCATCTGAGCATGTTCTAAACATATCAGAAAACTGAAATCATACAACATAAAATAAAACTTTTGTTTCTTCAATCATTGTCTTACTTTGTTGAAATTTAAAATCAAAGCCAGTGGAGTACTCAGGTCAGAGGAGCAGAATAAAAGGAGACAACTAAAGTGAGATTCAGAATGTCCTTATCATGAACAAAGCCAGGTTTCTTCTTAAGCTTGTTTCAAACAGGAAAGACCTTGCTCACATCACATAGAGTGTTTGACTGACCTATAGCACCATAAGATCTACTACTTCAAGTTTCTTATGAGGAACTGTTTTATCCCTTCTCCAAAACATTTTCATGACTCTTTTAATCTTACCAGGGAAGGGTGTTTGTGTTTTTATGTTATTCTTTTTTCTATTCTGACAAGCTAAGTTTGTTTAAGAAGTCAGGAATCCAACTCTCCCTTGCCTTGCATCTGGTGCAGGTTTACATGTGTTTCTAAAGAAGCCTGTGAGCCCTGTTGGGTGAGGTAACCTTAGTCCTGCTGTGAGCTCCAGTGGAGTGTGAGCACCCATGTGCCATGGAATTGCCTCCTCCATTTCATCTCCTGGTTTGCTTCTGCTTTTATCTAAGCAACTGAGTAGTTCTGAGTCACGATGAAAGATGAAACATAAAAGGTGTGTGTTGTAGGCTCTGTGTTTGTCTCCATTGTGTAGTGGTTAGGAACTTATTTTGTGAATTTGAAATTAAGTTCCTGCTCCCAACAAATGCATCTGTTTGCACAGTGTATCTTTTTCCTCTCTTCCTTTTAAGTAGTTTTGTCACACACTCAGTCAAAACTGACTCATTTCAAACTTTAAGTTCTTGGATTTTGCAAAGCTTGTAATTAACAATGCTAAATAGGAAAAGCCTTTTAAAAAGACAGGACATTAATTGATCTTTTCAAGTTACCATATTAAAACACGTCCAAGTGAGAGAAAATCTACAAAGTGAGCCCATCATATGGTAGACAATATGAGCACTGCAGACAATATAAGCAAAAACATACAAAAGACAGACTCAAGCAAGGCACCTTGAACTGTGCTGTAGGATAGCATATTATTTGAGAATAAAAGAGGATAAGTATTTAAAGAACTACACAAATAATAAACAGTGTCCTCTCTGGTGAAAAGCGTCCTCATGGACTCTGGGAGTGCTGCAGGGGAAGAGACTGCACTGAGTTCTTGCAGGCTTCCAGACAGCCACTGCCTTCCACAGGGGTGATGAGTTTTCTTCAAAAAAAATCAAAGGATTGGCAACTTGGACCATGGGTAGCACTGCTTATGGGGGGCCATTGCCTTAAAAGGAGACTTTTAAGTCTCCTGATGTGGTTGGAGCAATGCATTTTCTTTGATGTTTTCATAGCATCAGGCCATAAATGATTACACAGTTATATGAAAGCACTTATATAAAAATCTGTAAGTCAG